CTCCATATCCATTTCCAACTTGAATTTTCTCCTTTATAATGTATCACTATTGGATATGCTATAAGTTTACTTTTGTGTGTTTTTTGCTTCTCATCACAAGAATGTTGGCTCTGGCTCTGGGAAGGTGGACTTCTGCTTTGTTTGCTGCTATATTCTTGCACCCAGAGCAAGACCTGAGACATAGTGGGAGCTCAGTAAATATCGGATGAATGACTGGGTTTTAAGGGTATTATCATATGCAAAGTTGGACTCTTGTTCTTCTTGGTTTTATACTATAAAGAGATTCCTCTTTTCCCCCCTAATTTGCCCAATTCCCTTTGCTGGTCCTATTCATAAAATTCATAATCTGATTCTTAATACCCGTTTCTCATTTAATTATTGTTATGATGTTTCAGTTAGTAAAAGAAAGAAACATTTTATGAAATGAAATGAAATCAAGACATAATAAGTACTAGAATGCAGGAGACATTTGCAGCAGACACAGCACATGCAAACCTCCGGCCTGCCCGGCACTCAGGCCCAGACCCAAGGACTCCTTGGGGAGGGCCCTCAGCCTCTGTCTCGCTAGCGCCTGTCCCATGGGATTGAGTGAGGTGATGAGGGTACACAGCACAGACAGTACTGTCTAGAGTGGAAGTGTCTTTCTCACTTTTACCCTGATATAAGTGGGATCAGGAATGGTGGATTTAGAAGCAAGTACTATGCTTCTAATTTTGTTTGCAAACAGATAAAAGGCAAAATTATGTTGCAGAAGATTGGATTTTAAGGTTAGAAATAATGATATTTCCGTCATGTATCCATACTTGCTACATCTCTGATTTCTATATGTCATTTAATCCATGGAAATTTCAGTTTTGTCATCCATAAAATGAGGATAATAACTGTCCACCTTTCAGACTCATTTCAAAGGTTAAATAAGAAAAAGTGTGTGCAATAACTAGCTCACAGCAGTCACTTGGCAAATTACAGATTCATTTCTATCCTCCACATCATTGAAAAGCATCAGTTCCTAGATGATTCTGCCAAAATTGCATAGAACACTTTCCCGTCTATAAATTGGTTTATAAAATCTGCTTGCACTGGGGGATGGAGCAAACAATTAACGTTGCTGAGGTAAAATAAGGCTGTGACAAAAACCATGCTCATCCCCCCAAGGCCTCCATGCTGATCAGGCCCAGCCAGCTGCCTCCTCTAGAGGTGGCTTCGAGCCAGGCTGTCCTGGTAATCCCAGCTCACCGTCAGCCTCCTTTGGCCTTGGGACACCATCTGATCTCACTGAACCCTGGTTTCATGACCCGCAGAGTGATATGATGGCACTGCTGCCTCACAGTCTTCCTATGTTCAAATGCAGATTCCTGGGCTCCACACCCAGATGCTCTGATCAAGCAGGTCTGTGCTGGGGATAGACAGTGTGCGTTCTTGACAGTTCCGGGTATGTCCATGCTGCTGGTCAGGACCACTCCCTGAGAAGCCAGGTGCGTAGTATTTAACATGGGACCTAGTAGGTGCTCAGCAGATGTCACCTGCTTTACTAACACTTTCAGTACTATTCTTACTAGTACTTAATCAACACCTTTTTAGTTATAAAATCTGTTAGAGAAAATATCCTGTCTCCTTCCAGGTATCCTTTCCCCTAGAGACCTACCTGTGTACTGACATCTGGGATTTCCAGGAGAGCATGGTCAGCACCTGCTGCTTTTCAGGAACCTTCCGGAAACTTTCTAACTTCATTTCCCTGATCCAGATGACTGCATGCACTAGGTTATTGTGATACCATTTTATGGATCAGGAAACAGGCTTGGCAAAGTTGCCTGCTGACCCCACCGGAATAAAGCAGAAAAAAAAAATAAGCTGTTTTTTTTAAGTCTAGGGATCCTATTAATTCTCCTCCCCCCTGCCCGAAGTCATCTAACCACTGAGATTTGCTTTGTTGTGTTTTCCTGGAATGGACTCACATGATCCTGAGTAGTCCGTTAAGTGGTTATTTTGACAATGCACAGACATGATCTAATTGTCAGTGACTACACTGAGATATGATCTATGATAAAAGGAAAAAAATTACCCTAAGTCACACTTAGATGTCAAAGATTTCCTTGTGAGCCAGTGTTTGGAACCTGGAGGGGTCCTGGCTTCATAGATAGGCTGTTTGCTCCACTATGACGTCAGCGCTTCAGCACCCCAGCAGCTGAGGGCAGTAGGACATGCCTGTGGCCACCAACAAAGGACCCTGCATAAACCAGCTCTGGGCTCTCCTCTCTCCAGTGCCATGGGGAGAGCTCCCAGCTGGCCTTGCCCAGGAAAGTACTGATTTAATTTAGTGTAATGACTCGCGGAGCGTGTCTGCTCTACTGCGTGCCACGTGGTCTCCCGTGGACGCTCCCCTCTAATGCCTGCTGCAGACTTTGTGTCTGCAGTTGGACTGAAAGGACACAAACAGAATGCCCCACAGCCTGATGGCTGGGCTGGAACGCTGAGCATCCAGGCTGGTTGTCCCCCAGAACTGCAGGAAAGCCCCAAAGTGCCACAGCTGTGGGCTGTAAGCAGTGAGCTTTGTGGGCCTAGGGAGAAGGATCAGGACACAGGCCTTGTGAAGGGCACTCACTTGCAGAGAGTTCTCTATGAAATGTGGCACCTCTTCTCTGCTGGGGTTCCACTGAAGGAAATCCATGCTCACAACACAATGAAAAGAGGGATTGAGAGGCTAGGATCCCTCAGAAACTCTCTTCAAATTTCAATGCTGCAGGAAACCCCTAAACTCCTCAACAATGTTTGCTCTTCACCTGGGAGCAGTGTGAGCAGAGGCCTCCATAGACACTGCATTTCACATTCACTGTTAAACAAATACTCAGAATCATCTTTACCACTGAGGGTATTAAACATCTGACACATCAGGCCCAAGTAAGAGGTTCTTAAGTTGTGAGGAATGAAATTATTTTCTGAGAAAGAATCTAAATGGCAACTGTGGCCTTGGTTTTTCAGACAAAGGTGGTGTGCACAGCTTGCCCTGCTCCAGAGATGGGGGCCTCACCCAGGATGTGGAGCAGCCAAGACAGGGGCAGCCTCTCCCTCCTTTCCCTGTGCCCAGCCACTTACCCGGGGCTCACTTCATCCAACACCCTATGTGTGCATTCATGCCAATGTTGGCTGCTGTCCCTTTAAACACATCTGTCCCCATCTAAAATGTGGCAACCAAAATATAGCTCTGATATCAATGGTACTCCCCCCACCTCCAGCCAGGGTACGTAAAGGGCTTACTCAGCAGGGTTGACCCAGGAGCTGGAAGTGATCCGCCTTCCCTCACCACTGCAGGTGGCAGGACTGGGATACAGGCGGAGACCTGAAGTCACACGTTGAGCGTAAGGAGAAACCTGAATGGCCCATGATGTGTGAGAAGCTGTTTCTCTTTGCTCTACCCTCCTGACCTTCCCTTTCTTAGTGAAAATACCCTGGCCTATTTGTAGCATGCTGACCCAGGTTCAGAGTGCAGTTTATACAGGAACAGGCAGGCCCTGTTTTGCACACACGAGGGTATCTGTCCACATGCTTCTCTCCAGGTCTGGCTATGTGCCCTAATTCTCAGCCTATGTAGTGCCTATGTCCCCTTCTTGGGGTCTGGGTATGCCTACGCCTGACTCTGCCCCATAGCCACCCAGGCCTCTGCCAGACCTGGAGTCTTGCTTCCTGGCCCATGCTTGTTCCTCCAAAGAAGGGGGTCTCTGGCATTGTGGGATGAACTCACAAAGGTGAAGCTTAGACAGACCTTCCAGGCCAAGCTGGAACAATACGGAACAACCGCTTAGCCCAACCACAGCAGTGCAGGACTTGCCCCCAACATACCCACCCCACACCCATCATCCTTTAGAACCAGGACAGCAGAGCAGTGCTGACTGAGAAGGGCTCTGCTTTGTCCCTGCCTGGAAGGGCCTCTCGAGAGTTCCTACTAAGAAGCACTTGCTTTCAGGGGCTCTGACATCAGTTGGTGCACTGCTCTCCCCTGTTCCTCTGTGATGTAATAAAATGGGGAGGGGAGAAAGGACAATGTATCAAGGGATTCTTCTCTCATAAAACAAAATGAGATCAACACAGAAACCAACAAGAAGCAGTGAGAGGCCATGCTGGGGTCAGCCAGGGGACCTGTTTTCAAGCAGGGAGAAATAAATGTTTCAGACACCAGGCCTGCCTGACTGAGTTTGCAGCCTGAGCCCCAGAACCCTGGAAGCTAGAGAGGAAGTCCTGAGCACCAAGGGACATACAGTGCACCCAGGGGACACACATGAGTGTGGGTACCATGCTCTCCACCTTGCCGACACAGGGAGCCACCTTGTCTTTCTCTGGTTTGGCTGGGCTGAGGTTTTGGGTTTGGTAATGCTGAAACACACTGTGACTGGCAGGTGTGTGTCCCTTTGATTAATAAAAAATGGGAACAGAGACTGTTTATGCATGAACACTCTTCATTTGCTAGAGAACATCTTCCAAAGCCTGGCTTCCATGAAGGCACAACAAGGTAAATGCTTTGCATGAAAAAGATCTGGGAACCAATGCCTCCAGAAACCCTCACGCTGGAGGAGGGAAGGTGTGACTCACCCTGGGATGGGCCATTCCTCTCACTCAGCTTCAGCTGAGGAGTACGCACAGGTGGTGGACACTACAACCTATTCATGTGAATGAGCCTGTCACAGACAGAACCACCTCCTTCCTGTTGTCCTTGTCCTGGGCACAGTACCTCCCAGAGTTGGGTCAGTCCTGCTGGCACACCCTAGATGCCCGCTCACAGGCAGACCTCCCAGCCTGCTTCAGTTCCAGGTTTGTAAAAAGCAGCAGAAGACTCCAGCACTCACCAGTCCCAGCACCTTGAGGTGAGGCCCATGACCTCCTTCATGGGCCAGTCCTCCAACCATAAACTGCAGGCCCCTGGGATAGCATGATTGAACAGGCTTCTGAGGCTCTCCTCCTCAGCAGCCCGGGTAGGCTGCCTGTGTGGCCGATGGAGACAGGCTTACCTCGTGGGACAAGTAAAAGGCTGCAATACCCAAAGGCCAGAAGCAGCAGAGCATGGAGAAGACGCTGAGGCCCAGGTGGTCCCTTGGGGGCATCATGAGGAAGTTGTCCTCACTCTCTGTGTCACTCGAGTAGTCGCTCTGCAAGAAAGGAAGATAGGGATGGGACAGAAGAAGAGAGCCACTAACACAGTCAGTGTGTGACGCCCCCAGACATGGGTGCTGAGCCTGGCAGGGAGAAAGCCCCTCCGGGAAGGTCACTGTTGTTGTTACTGCCTACAGCAGACTTCCCCCAAGGAAAGAAGCCCCAGTTAAGGAGATCCTTATCAAGAACAGGAAGAGAAAAATCCCAAGTACTTGACTCTTAAGTCATTCCATTGAAATCAAATCCTACAGAAGCCCATTATTTCACAGATCGTTGGGATCCAGTGACACACAGTGGGGGTAAAGTTTTCATCTACGCAAGGATGGGATGGGCACTCTCAGAAGGCCACACCAGTGTGTGTAATCCTCTCTTTATTCTAAGACTTCAAACAGGTTTATAGGACACGGAGGGTCGGTGTTGGGCAAGGAGACTGCACAACTGACTGTCCCTGAGCTCCCTCCATCTCCTTAGACTGTGATAGGAGTTAGGGCATTGCTGGGCCTGGTGTCAACCCTGTGTGAAAGTGCTGCCTCCAGAGGAGTTGACTGCTGCTTTTTTTGGAAGCTTCTCTGTGAGGAGGCCACTTAGTGGGGCTTGTGGGCTCAGCCAGGCCTCCTAGAGAGTCTGAGGCAGGGGGTCAGGGACTGGCACAGGGCTTTGTAAAAGCTGCTGAAGACTCTAGCTCCCACTAACAATGGCAGCCATGGATGAAACTTCCCTGCAGAAAAGCTCACTAGCTCCACACACTAAATGGTTGTTGTCCTACCGGCACATCCACCTCTGGATGCTGTGATTAGAGGATGCTTTTTGCCTAATCAGTTATTCCATTTGCTGGGCCCCCATCATGAATTTTCTCTCCTCATCAAAACATGGAACACTCAGGCTGACTCATCCAAAAATCAGGGCCAGCCTCTCTAAGTGCTTATTTTATGCAACGATAGAATCGCATTTTACTCCAGATTTTGTTTCCTAAAAAAGAAATAGAGCATTTCTTTCTGAAAGAGGGTCATTAGCTTCCTCACTCTCTTTGCCAGAGGCAGAGGTTGTTAAACACGCAGCCTCTGGATACAGACTGGAGACATTTGGTGCACACTGCAGCCATGCTCGCTGCTTCCTCAGGTGGCTTTAGGGGCAGGCAGTGACCTGAAGCACCAAACACTCTGGTGGACACCCCGTGTGAGCATTGTGCTGCGTGAGCATCGCTGCCAGGTCCACTCCCAGCAGTGCCCCCATGTTCTTCCCCCTGACACTCGCATGCACACACAGACAAAGTCCACAGGAGACCATGGTCCCTCCCTTGGTTAACTAAATGCACATATCACTGCCAATCAGAGCTTCTAGTCAGCCTGCAGACAGCTGAGGAGCTGCAGGAAACTAATGAAAACTTCCCTTTAAGACTGTTTTCCGGGCAGTTGAGGGAGAACAGGCAAATTCTGATGGTCTCATTCAAATCACAAACAAGGACCTTCTCCAGAGGGTCAGTGACTTAAGTAGGTGATGCATTAGACAGCCCCCTGTCCACTCATCACACATTCACACAAACGTACCCACACACACACACTGGTGGGACAGGGGCTGGGAGGCATCACTTCTCACAGAGGGCTGGCTCCTTTCCAACAGGCAGTCTCTCTGCCCTGGGGAGTCGCCTGCCACTGGGGCGATATCCCCTCCATGAGTCTGGGACTGCATGGTTTCTCTTCCACAGAGAGCTGTGAAATTTCTACTCTTTTCACTCTGCAGCACTGTTTTCCATATGGTCCTAAACAATAAAAGGAAATTAAAATCACCGTCCTTATGTCTGTCTGGGGAGGGCACTGAGTAGCCTCAGGAACGCACAATTCACAGGTGAAACCTGGGCCTGGAGGGCTGGCCAGGGAGAGATGGACCTGCTGGGATGCCGAAATCTTTGATCTGAATGAAGGATGTGCAATGTTCCAGGCAAAGCCTGAGTGTCCTCACAGCTATCCGTCTCCAGACAAGCAGCCATGTGTCAACACCTTGGCCTCCAGACCTTCACTTTGGAAACAGGGGTTGGCTGTCAGTCAGCACAGTGTATGTGGCTGAGTTGCACTGTGAAGGGCCCTCTGCATGAGATGCTGGTGAACTCTGGGAAGGGAGGCACCTAGAGGACAATCCCAGGGTAACCTGTGAGCAGAGAGCCCCTGAGACAGGTAGAGGACCAGGTATAAAAGTACAGCCACTTCTTCCTGCCCTCACCTCAGATCCTGAGCTAATGAGCTTCATGCTGATGGGTCAGGTTGCTGCAGGTGGACATGCGTGCACACAGCCAACAACTTTGTCTATGGGTATTTTAGTTGTTTGGCTTTTGTGGGACTTCTTGTTTGTTTTATTTTACTAAGAGTTTTACATACCTGTGTTAGGTGGATTCTCATAGCAACTCTGGAAATAAGTGTTGTTACTATTTTTGTTGTTGTTGTTGTTGTTGTTGTAGTTCTTTCTATTTTATGAAGGACAAAGCTGGGCTCTGAGAGCTAAGAGTCTTGCCAAATCACAGAACTGTGCAGTCAATAGCTATTCCTTCCAGAACTCTATAAGTAAACCATGCTGGGCAGTAACTGCTTGGCTCAAAGCAAACCCCATTTTGGCTCAATTTGCTTCTTGCACAAAGGTGAGGTATCTTCTCTGCCTCACCCACCCCAGAGATTACAATGACTGCTTCTGGACCTGTATGTTTCACGACAGTAGTGGAGTGGCCAGTGGTAGTAGTGGCCAGTGAGAGCCTTCCCAGTCATGTGGCCAGAGTGTGTGAACTGTTGCCACAGACCACACAGGTACACTGAGCTCTGACTTCCATTTTTGGATTCTGCTTAGAATTACACCACTATCCCCATGAAGCAAAGAATTAGATTTCAGGGCACTCCCCCAAAATCTTCACAGATTTTTATTTAGAAGCATAAGGGAACCACACTCTGTAAATTGCAAAGTTGTGGCTACACAGTACCAAAGTAATTAGTCAATTTTGATTAAAATAGATTTTAAAGATTCAGACAAATTACAGGGCAGACAAAAACAGCCCAGTTCATTTTATGTTCTGTCTTCCACCAGCGGCTGTTCTGTGAGCATAAGCAGCCATGGGCATCTTGCCACCGAACAGGGAGGAGAAGAGAGGGGAGGGGAGGGGAGGGGAGGGGAGGGGAGAGGAGAGCTCACAAGGCCAGCCTGGGTGAGGCTGCATAGATAACAATAAACCAAATAGGGAAAACACACACAACCACCAGTACTGAGAAATTCATCACACACAGCAGCTGCTTCTAAAAATCCTTTTCATGGGTCATCAGATTGGAGAATTGTAAGGCAGACTAAAGCATTCCAAGGGGACTTACAATTCCTGTAGAGGCTCCTTCTGAGGCAGCCAGTGCTGGGCGGGCAGAGGAAGTGGCTGCTCGGTCCCTCGGCTGTGCCCTGTGCCCCACACAACAGACCCATTCTCTGCACCTCTACTCAGAGGTTGTCCCCTTGGGGTTTTCTTCCTTAGGAGATTTTAATAAAACAATCATAATGCCAGGCACAATGCCCAGTGTTTTGCACATAACAATTCACTCAGCTACGTGAGCTTGGGCCGTGAGGATGCCATTTTAGGGGTGCAAAGCTGGGCTCAGCCATGTCACGTGGTGTCACTCAAGACCTCCCACATGCCCCTGCCCACCCCTCTGGGTCTCACACTGCCCTCCCATCCCTCCTAGATGCTGCTTGCTCATCTGCAGTTCAGTTCCATGTGGCCCCAAGGAGAGAGTGGAGGCTCATAGAGCAGGAGAGGAGAGGGCCTCAGGCAGCTGGAGTGCAGAGTTCCCCACGGAGGCTCACTTTCCAGACATATAGGGGTGCTGGTTCTAGAGTGTTCCTGACAGCACTGTTTAAAAACAGCAAAATTACAAAAGAATTCTACATAGAATTCTATATAATCAAGGGAAAAAAGGTTTCAAAGAGAGAGTAAAAACGAATTCTATATAATCATGGAAAATGATGATATAAATGTTTATTTATTCTACTAGAAAGATGTTTATAAGAGCTGAGGTGAAAAACTAGAGCAGAAAGTGGAATAAGTCATATTCACTCCAGGATGTCAGAATGTGTTTCTGGATGGTCAGGATATTGGTGATTTTTTTCTTTCTGCATTTCTGGGTTTTAGCATTTTTCTATAAAAAGCAAGTTCACTTAACAATGAAAATTGTCAAGGTGCAGTTGTGCTAACAGGTGAGGGGCTTTCACCATTCCTGCATCTTCACATAGAACTCCATGGACTATGGTTTCACTGAGACTTGGCACAGAGAAATCACATAACGTGGGCTGTCACCCAAAGAGCAGCTGCTGGATCAGGATTGGAACTCAGCACAACACCCAAGCTTGTTCACTGAGACACAGGTCAGACCTGACCTTGCCACCAGTCCCTCGGCCTTATCTCACTGAGGGTCAAGACCCTCAAGAGATCAAGAGATCTCAGAGCAGTCCATGACACTCATCTGTGTTGACTAGCATGGCAGTCATAGCCACATGGATCTCTTTAGACTTAAATTACCTAAAATCAAATACACCTAACAATTAGCTCCTCAGTCTAACTACCACATGCCAAGTGTTCAGCTGCCACAAGTAGTTAATGTCTATCAAACTGGACAGCACAGATGTAGAACATTTGCAACATCTCAGAAAGTTCTTTGGACAACTCTGTCTTCTAGGATCTGACCCCTATTAAGTTTGACTTCACTATCTTCCACCCACAGGGAACCCTCGTATACTCCTGTGAAATGCCTCAGGGCTTTGGCACTTGCTATCCTCTCAGCCTAGAATTCTCTACCCCAGAGACAAACATGACTGGCTTCCCAACTTCATCTGGGGCTTTTCTCAAATGCCACTTTTCTTTATAGTCTTCCCCAGATGTCCCATAAGGCTGTCACTGCTATCTCCCACTACTACCCCCTTATCTGTCTCCTTTGCACCATAGGTGGCACTGGTTTATTTACTATCTGACTCTCTCCCTATAAGCACTGGGAAACTAGACAAATTTGCATGTTTTGCTCACAGCTGCACCCTAAGTGCCCAGAACAGTGTCTTGCACATAGTAGGCATCCAAAGCATATGTGCTGAAAGAAAGAATTCACATGTGCAACATGGACAGTACCAGCTGAAGCGGCAAAGCTCCCAGAGTTTGCCCAGAGTGTGCTGGAGTAACCAGGGGATTTGCTCCATTTGGGCTACTGGTGCCCAGCCCTGCTTCCCACCTTGTCTCCTCTCCTTCCCCACTGGAAATACCTTCCCTATGCACATACTAACCATCCACTTAGGTGAGACCACAGAGATGATGGGGGGAGAATGATGACCTGGTCAGGCTCAAGGCTGTCTTAGGGCAGCTGATGATAAGGATAAGTCATTATGAGGATTTAGGCAGGTGGATGCAGCTCTCTCAAGCTTCTGTTGTCTGTCAGAGGCACACCCAATGTTCTATGGTCTTGCAGCCAGCATGGAGTGTGAGATCCCCTACCTACATGAGAGATGTGGAGAAGTGTGGGTAAATGCCTTTGATATCCCCAAGATAAGTCAATATACAACAAAGCTTCTACTGCTAAAGGAGGAAATAGCTCCTAGTGAGCCATGTTGGCAAAGTCAATGTCTGGGTTTTGAGTCCTGAAGTACTTGCATAGCCAGCATAGGGACCACATTCCCTCACCTACACTTGTGTCCACTTAAGGGTCTCCCATGGCCCACCTGTCTGTGGAAGACCCTAATCCCTTTAGCATTCAGACAACTCATCTCTGCACCAGGCTTACCCTGATATCTTGAGGTCCACTAGCCTCTCCTGTACTGACATCAGATTACATAAAAACCACAGATGTCTGCTAAGGACTCATTCTGTGTAATGCATGCATAGCTTGCAGATACAAAGGTATACAGACGTCCGGAATCAGATCAGTAACACGGAATATGTTAGTATCTAAATACACTTTGTCCTAAATTATTAGGTAATTACTTTGGGCATGTAATTTAGTTTCTCCTACTAGGTAGTAATTGTCTTGTAGACAGAGATTATTTCTTATATCAGTGTAACGGGGGCAAGAAAAAACCAACAAAATCTATTTGAACACTGAAACTGCCTTTTTGGGACACTTTGAAAGAGCTTGTTTATGGAGAGTGTTGGTACATTTGGATGGCCCAGGTGGAGAATGAAGCAGGAGCTCCACTGCTTGGGAGTTTCCTCAATAAACCCGTGTAGGAGGGGT